TAGAGAGATTAGCAGGTAATGCCTTCTTTTGTTTTCTCGATGGGTTCTCAGGATATTATCAGATTGTTATTGCCCAGGAGGACCAAGAGAAAACAACCTTCACTTGCCSATTYGGCACMTTTGCTTACAGACGAATGCCCTTTGGTTTGTGTAACGCTCTAGGCACTTTTCAAAGATGCATGATGAGTATATTTTCTTATTTTATTGAGAAATGTATTGAAATGTTCATGGATGATTTTACTGTYTATGGTGATTCGTTTGATGACTACCTAAATAGTTTAAGTAAAATTCTGAATCGGTGTGTGGAAACAAATCTTGTCTTAAACTATGAAAAATGCCACTTTATGGTGAATGAAGACATTGTTATTTCAGCTAGAGGAATAGAGGTCGACAAGGCCAAGATTGATTTAATTGTGAGCTTACCCTACCCTACAAATGTTAGGGAGATTCATTCCTTTCTTGGACATGCAGGTTTTTACGGCAGGTTCATAAGAGATTTTTCAAAAATTGCCCTGCTATTGTCCAATTTGCTGCAAAAGGATGTGCCTTTCAATTTTGGTGATGAGTGTAAGGAAGCATTTGGCAAACTCAAGAGGTTGTTAACAATTGCACTCATTATTCAACCACCTGATTGGAACTTGCCTTTTGAGATCATGAGCGATGCAAGCAACTATGCGGTAGGGGCTGCTCTAGGTCAACGAATTGATGGGAAGAGCCACGTCATCTACTATGCTTCCAAAACATTGAATGCTGCACAGAGCAACTACACAACTACTGAAAAGGAGCTACTAGCTATTGTGTTTGCTTTAGATAAATTTCGATCATATTTGCTTGGCTCTAAAGTAATTGTATTTTCTGATCATGCAGCTTTGAAATACCTGCTAGCGAAGGAGTCAAAACCGAGGTTGATAAGGTGGATACTCTTGCTCCAAGAGTTTGATTTAGAGATTAAGGATCAAAAGGGAACTGAAAACTCGGTGGCGGATCATCTAAGTAGGTTGGTGAAAGGTGATGACTCCTCACCCATCTCTGAGTTGTTTCCTGATGAGCAATTGTTTCACATAAAAGGTATGGTTCCGTGGTATGCTGATATTGTAAACTACTTGGTCACCGAAATTTTGCCTAATTACCTTAGCAAATCCATGAAAAACAAAATCAGGTATGAGGCAAAATATTATGTATAGGACAAACCCTATTTATGAAAATTTTGTTCTGATCAAAGGATTAGGAGGTGTGTCCTTGAGGATGAGCAGATGTCAATTCTAACATTTTGTCATAATTATGCTTGTGGTGGATATTTTGGGCCAAGGAGAACTGCTCGAAAGGTCTTAGATAGTGGGCTGTATTGGGCAACCCTATTTAGAGATGCATACTTGTTTTGTAAAAATTGTGAAAGATGTCAGCAAACAGGTACACTATCTCGCAGGAATGAGATGCCCCAAACCCCCATTCTTATATGTGAAATATTTGATGTTTGGGGTATTGATTTAATGGGACCCTTTTCTCCCTCTTGTGGTTTTGCTTATATACTTTTGGTAGTCGATTATGTTTCAAAATGGGTGGAAGCAAAAGCCACCAAAATTGATGATTCTAAGTGTGTTGTAGGGTTTATCAAATATAATATTTTCAATAGGTTTGGCATTCTCCGAGCCATCATAAGTGATCAAGGGACCCACTTTTGCAATAGAACCGTCGAAGTCTTGCTAAGGAAGTATGGGGTGCATCATCGAATTGCCACTACTTATCACCCCCAGACTAACGGACAAGCTGAAATTTCTAATAGAGAGGTAAAGTCCATCTTAGAAAAGAAGGTGAATCCGGGAAGGATTGGAGCCTACGTCTAGATGACGCTCTCTGGGCATATCGAACAGCTTACAAAACCCCAATAGGGATGTCCCCTTACAGGTTGATTTTTGGCAAATCTTGCCACTTGTCGGTCGAAATTGAACATAGGGCCTATTGGGCAATCAAGCGATGCAATATGAATATGGAAGAAGCC